TGTGTGTGTCTGTGTGGGAGCGCGCGGCGGTGAGGAGAGAGCGCCTTGGAGGTAGACGGGACAGAGCGAGAGAAAAAAGAGCGAGGTGTATGTAAATATTAGCGTATTAACATTACGCGAAAAATAAATGGTAGATTTACGATCACGAAACAATTATTTAAATTAATACATGAAAAACATTACACACGTTTGTTAATAATCATTGTCATTAACAAATATTTCTAACCAAGGACTACAGCATATATCAATACATTATATCATTCCATTGTATTTTCAATGGAAAACGGACCCGACACGCGTCGACGATCGGAACAAATAGGATTGTTTCTATTTCGTCCGTCCGCGTCCGTTGCACCCTCCGTTAACGGAATACGTCCGACGTGCGTCGGACGGACGCATGCGGAGGCAGTGGAGCCACTTCCATTCACCCTCATGGAGATAACGGAGACGGAGATGAAACGGACATGTTTGGACGGATCCGTCGTCCGTTTTAAGCGCCCGGTGGAGTCGGGGCCTCAGTTTCTCGTTTATTGTGGTGGTTACGTTCTGAAAATACAGTAACCGGCAATAAGAAAATCCTTCGAGTAGCAGCTCTACCTGAACTCACCACTGCTCAAGTGCGACAGCGGAGACATCTAACCTGTTCGTTTTAGGTCTGAGCGTTGCTGCAGCTGTTCAAAGCCGTGAATGCACTGTAAAATACAGCTACAGAGAACACAGTGCTGAGGAGGCTAAAGAGATAGAACAGTCTTGAGAGCGAGGAACTAGTCCAACAGATTGAATACATAGTTTTGCGGTTTACACTGTGACAACTCTACTGTCATCAATGATATTAAAGACAGGTTCCCAGAAAACAACATTTTTAAGTGGAGTTAGTCTTAATTAAAAATACAATGGACATAAAATGTATGTCGACCATTTTCATGCAAATATTCCAATCAGAGAGGAGACTGAAGTTCGGATTGCCAGTTTGTTCGATGAAATTTAGTAGTAAGTAATCTTTATTCATATGCACAAAGCGGTTTACAATTGTTATTTTGGGCACTTGTCCTTTCACTCCAAACAGAGATACAGTAGGAGCGGGATTGCCGAACAGGAGGCGCATGCCAGAACTATTGTGCATGTTTTTAGTGGTAGGGGAAACCGGAGTACCCGGAGGAAACCTACGCAGACACGGGGAGAACATGCAAACTCCACTCAGGAAGGCCCTGGTCCGACCGGGATTCGAAACCAGGACCTTCTTGCTGAGGGGCGAGAGTGCCATCCACTCAGCCACCGTGCCGCTAATTGGCTCTACCTTTATTAAACATAACAGTTTTTATACCATGTTTAGCCACGCCCTCTTTTTAGGGGATAAGTCCATCCGCCGCCAGCCATAATATTCCTGTATGTACTGTCCTTAGATAAGACACACTGCGGAGATGACTCTGTTGTGAGCACTGGTCTGTGCTCCGATGGTATCACCAGTTCTGTTCCTGCCAGTCGGCCCCAGTTTCTTACTACAATAGTCCGTCAAGTAGATAAATATTTGTGAATAAATAAGTGACTTTGACTGTCTGAGAAGCGCCATATAAATCCAGATGATTTACTCGCTGGGACTTCAGGCCTCACTGTGCCGTGGGAAATCTGGTATCGTGCATTATCCGTCCTGTGTGGTGTTTTTAAATGCACTTATGAATAAAGCAGCAGACATCCTCAGAATAATGTTGCCAGATAATGAGATCTTTAGGTGCGTGTATAAAGCTGTGGGCATCAAGGACATACTGTATAGTTACTTCTGCTTAAGTGTCGCTCCGTGGGTGACAGACCTCTGTGTTCGCTCTACGGAGAAAGTTCTAAACTATTGTATGAGACATTATGCAATCTTTATTCAAAGCAGGTTTTCTCATGTTTTCTCATCTCCACAGATTGATAAGCTTCACAATGGCTTTAATAAAACCCTGTAGGCGTCAAAATAGTAGAATTCTACTTGGACTTCTGAATCTAGGACGCTTTATATACAATACAGTTTATATCCTTTACAGTTTATACATAAGTTGTCACTAGTATTCCTAATGTTAACTGGTTTACTTATACTTAGATAAATGTACTGTAACCAAACGTGCATGTGCTTTGTTAAAAAATCGTGTGAGCGCCTTGATGTCTGTTGGTCTGATCCGCTTCAATGTTCCTTGTGAGTCTAGTGCAGGGGTCGGCAACTCAAAAAGTTCAAAGAGCCATATTTGACCAAAAATACAAAAAACAAATCTGTCTGGATTTGCCATAACGTATACTGCCTTGTATAAGGCTTATATCAAAGCAACAAAGGTTGTAAGCTGTATTAGCCTACTATCAAAATGCATTCATGATTATTATATGTGTTTTCACTGTAGTGCAAGAGAATGACGCACATGTGACTACTCTGCATTACAGCTCTGTCTGTTCATATTGATCACACGTCGTCACGGCTGGAGTTTTCTGGAGCTGAACTAATGTCCCGAACGGTGTTTCGCACTTCATTCTTCCTTGTGTTGCAACAAAATTCAGTAGTAGAAGTTTAGAGATGAATCCGCTCCAGAATAACTGCGATCGCACGGTTTCTCTCCAAACTGGGGTCAGCAGCCAATTTTCCACATGACTCTTTTTGTTCTTCGAGATATTCTCACAAAGCAAACATGAAGCAGTCCTTCCTCATTGACAGTGAAAGCAAATGTTCCAGCCCGTTCTTCCTAGAATTCTTGGTTCTTATCAACAACTTCCCTTTGTAGCTTTGGGATTTATGGGGATTCATGTGGCACACGCCGGTTTGTTTACAACCGCGCGTCGCAGGATATGACGCAAATCTCAGTTGACAGAAACGTTGAAATTGAATATTTCTTATGCACATTTTTACTGCATTGTAAAAGGTTAAGAATGTTGTTCCTCCTTCAGAAACCACATTGAAACTAGAAATAAAATATACCCCACCCACTCAATTTTCAGACATTTTTGAAGAGACTCCTGGAGCCGCGGGTTGCCGACCCCTGGTCTAGTCAGTTTGCTTTTGTCATGTTTTGTTGAGCTTTGTTAAAATTTCATTTCTTGCCCAATTTATGTGTCACTTTAGACACTTTGGTTAATTAAAAAGATACAGTTTCCCTAATTTCTTGTATTTATTTCTGTTAGTTATTTTAAATTGCTCATATTACAGAGCTCCACCTTTTATATTTTTCTCTTCACATTTCTGAAGAAAGAGGGGCGTCTACAGGAGAAAAGTACACTCTAATATAAAGATAATTGCTTGTAATGTTTACCCCACATTCACTGTAAACATTAAACATTGGATTAATTTACTTGTTTATGTTTATTCATTATTATTACACCAGGAACATGTTTGTTGACTTCTTTTCAGCACTGGACAGCTCCACACAGGACTGAGGCCACAGGACATGTACTGTATATTTACTTTGTGAAATGAGCTGCATATTCACAGCCCCATGTTTGTTGTGCCAAAATGCACCACATTTCATATTACAACAACAACATTTGTCAATATATGTATTGATACTGGACATCATTTTTATCCAACTTTGAATACAAAACACAACTTACCATCCATCCATCAATTTTACCCCGCTTTATCCATTGCCGGGTCGTGGTGGCAGCAGTCTAACCAGAGACGTCCAGACTCTCTCCATACACGCTTCTTCCAGCTCATTCCGAGAGACTTAGTCCCTCCAACCTTTCCCTGGTCTCAAAACACATTCCCAAGCCACCTCAACTGGCTCTTCATCAGTGGCTCTACTCCGAGCTCCTCCTGTGTGATAAATACAAAAGAAAAAACAAGAATTATAATCTCTGACATGACCTTTTGTGCAGTTAAACATTTGGTGAACGACTCATGTACAGTACATAACCCGTCCATTTGATAAATTATAGAAATGGCCATGAAAGTAACAATTCCACTTGTGTAATGGAGTGTTTGAGTGTGCGTTCCTTCTTTCTGGATTGCATTCTTATGTTAAAGCAGCATAGGCTGAAGCTGGTCCGGACTTGGTAAAAGTAGGAGGTGAATTGGCAGACAGAGGCGTGCAGTTCAGGCGCTTTGATGTGGGGAGCGTCTCTTTGAAGCCTGATGGTTTGTAATGGCCTGTAAATGTTTTCAGACCTGATCAGAATTCACACACAGCACCAGAACTCACTCGCCCCCAAGTGCCACGCCGAGATCCACCGTACCGCTGCACTGCGCAAGACCACGAGTGCCACGTGAACACTCCTCAATGGTAGAGGTCAGTCAGCTGTGGACTGGTCTCCCCCCGCCCCGGACGGCACTCCCCTTCGTTCTTCAGCCTGAGTCCTGGATCTACAGCCTGTCCATATGTCAGGGCGGATCCCTCTCTCACTTTGGGCATTTTTCCTGCTGATTTTTTCCGTGCCAGTGCTGGAGAATCTAAGGAGAGTGACCATCTGGGGTATTTTAGGTAATTTATGGACATTTGTTATCATTTATGTACATTGGTCCCGCTCCCTGGCTCCTATGTGTTTGTGACTGAATTTCTTTTCTTCAAACAGTTTGATTCTCTGCAATGTTGTTGAGAATCTACAACGTCCTCTGAGACGACCGCTGTTGAGATTTACGACTATACACAAATAACGTTAATTGAATTGAGTCATATGGATTATGTACAAAATAATAATAGAATAATAGAAAATAATAATAAGAGGTAACTAACAATCTGTGTGGGCTTTGTATTTTTGGACATTCACCAACCTTTATGGACGTTGGTCTTCTGCCCTTTATGGACCAATACCAATAATGTGTTATCTGTTTTATTTCTTGTGTTTGAACAGTTTGATTCTTTGATCTGTGTTGGCGAATTCAGCGATTGTGTAAAGTCCTCCGAGATAACCGCTGTTGTGATTTAGGGCTATACAAAATCCATTGACGTGAATTGTATTAGCTTGGGTTTTACTTTCAGGCTCAGTCCCAGTTTAGCACCAGTTCAGTCTGTAGCGTGTGATGAGAAGTGTGAAGCCCGTCTTTAGTCTCGCTCTGTGTGTCTCCCCAGCGTCCTGACACTCACACCAGTCACTGTCTGCTCCACTTCCTGTCCTCTGGTGGTGACCTCACAGCTCTCCACCTGATCCCTGCTCCTCTGGGCCACGCGGGGAGCAGAGGAGACGGGTCCTGGTCCCTCTGCGAGCACCGCACTCTTTTTCTCCTTGTAATTACTGCAACTTGTCCGCCAACATTAAATATTCATAGACTATTGGCTGCGCTGGAAGTGCCAAGTCTGCATCTCCACTGACTGACTGGCACGCAGGTGAGCTCCTGATATATGTTCATGGATCTGCGGTGACTTCATTACATTAAACTGAAACTAGTTTGTGACTGGAATAAGATAAGGCCGCTCGACATCACGACGGCACTCAAGGACAGTCGAGCGGACGGTTACAGATGTGTTATGACATATTAGGACGACAGTATGAGGTACTTTTGGTATAAGGATTTGTATAACAAGGATATGTATGCTTTGTTTTCATGTATGTGTGCTGTTTATTATCTATTTTTCACTTCTCCGACACAATCCTTGACACTTTCATCAATCAATCTTAATTTGTAGAACGCCTTTCCAACACAAGGCAACACAAAGCGCTTCACAGTCCACATCACACAAGGCACAAAAAACAACAACAAAATCACCATTAACAACACAATTCATATCACACAGGTAATTAAAAACGTTAAAAGTAAGTAAGTAAGTAAGTAATGTTTATCTATATAGCGCATTTTACAGACCGAGGTCACCCGAAGCGATTTCCAAAAATTAAAATAACACAAGGGATTAAGAATAATAAATAACCACAGTTCATTAAACAGAGATAATAGAAGGTGGCTCAATGGGAGGAGCTCAGAGTAGAGCCACTGCTTCACCATGTCGAGAGGAGCCAGGGGAGGTGGCTCGCCGGATCTTATTGGGATGCCTCCTGGCCGCCTCTACGGGGAGGTATTCTGACCATGTCTCACCGGGAGGAGACCAAGGACACCCGCTGGAGGACTATGCCCCTCATCTGGCCTGGAAACTCCCATTTCCCCCAAATGAGCTGGAGTCAGTGTGTGTGGATAGGGAAGTCTGGGCGTCTCTGCTTCGACAGCTGCCCCCACGACCTGGTGACGAATAAAGCGGAAGAAAATGTATGTTTTGAGTTTTTATGAGCCGTTCTGTTCCCTTCTATGACCTTCTCTTTCCATCACTCTGGGAAAGTGGATCTTTGTCTCATGGGACTGTTCCAGAAGGCTTTTTGGTCTTTCTGTGATTGCATCTCACCAGTAACAATAACAGTTTTTCACCATGTTTTTGAGCGGTCTGTGGTCTGATGGCATCGCCAGTTCTGCTCCTGCTGTCCGCCTGAGGCAGCTTCAGCTAAGATAGTTTCTTACCACAATCGTTGGTCTTTCTGTGATTGCATCTCACATGTCGTTTACATGTTGTTCTTATCCTTCTGTTGAAGTCTGGACTCGGACATACGCCGCCTCCTGGAGAATGTTCTGGAAATGTTATGAGGGGCTTTTTCTTCACCAGGGAAAGAATGATTTTGTTATTCCCCATAACATTGGTTTTCTGTTTGTTTGTTTTGGTTTTCCCTCCCAATCATGGCTTGCTTCACTGATTGCGACAGCTCTTTGCATCACATCTGAAATTAAATCTGCAGCTTTTACCTGCTCTTCGTGCATGGGATAATGAAAGAATATCACACGTCTAGGAAGCCAATAAGATCTGCAACAATCCCAATCCAAATCCCAATGTTCTTGGTCACAATTAGCAAATCACCAATACAGCCATTTTCATACAAAAAAGAGACTAAAAAAGGATAAAGAGAAAACCACTTGAATTTGAAAGACATGGATTTGAGTTGAGTGTCAATGGAACAAGTATCTTAGCCTTGTTTTCAAACAGAGGCATTATTTTCTCATTCCACATTAGATCTCTTATTTTGTATCCTTTTAAAAAAGCTTTCAAAATCTTTTGCACACTTCAGACCCTCTGACTAAGAATGTAGGGACAAAACCATTACTTCTACTACTAATACTGCTACTAGTACTACTATTACAACTACCTGAAGTGACTGTTTGTATTCATTTCTAGGAACAATGTTGTGCTATTGGTTAGAACAGCTTTACTTTACCTGTTTGCTGTTCGCTATGGAACTCTCTTGAGGTTTTAATTTTAACATCGGCCAAACCCAGAGCCTCAGAAGGACCTGTGACTCTGACTTTGACCTATATCAAAAGACACGCTTTAAACAAAGGGGTTAACAACACTCTAATTAAAAAAAAGTTATTTTGAAAGCCAAATCCACTGAAAGAAAAATCGTCTTCAAGAAAAAGAGCAATAGGATTTCTTCTTTATGTAATATGACAATCAAACTAAAAACATTAAAAGAATCCATCCATTCATCCATTTTCTACCCTTTAATCCATTTCTGGGTCAGGGGGGTGGCAGTCAGAGATGCCCAAGTCTCATAGCACCAGCCCCTCACTGACCCTCTGCAGGTGGTGAGTCCACAGGAGGACGGCTGCTCTCTGAGTGTGAGCATAGCCTTGATCTTTCAGTGGGGGCTTTGGGCAAAGTGGGTTAAGTGTCTTGCCCAAGGACACAACGACAGCAGTCATCAGTGGGAGTCGGTGGAGAAGGTGTAGAGGTGGGAATTGAACCCACGACCTTCAGGCCTGAAGGCCAATGCTCTACCAACTGAGCTACTGTCGCCTATTAAAAGAATCATAACACAGAATTGGGACCTACACCTGTTTTCTGACCTGTCTTTACAATATGAAGAGTACCCACCCTCAAAAACAAGGGGAACATTCAGCTTGCCTTAGCAACCATCTTAGCAACACGTCTGCCCCTGTTATGGCATGAAAATAGCACCATTAGAAGATATGCCCATATAAGGAAATTGGCTCTAGCTTGCTCATGTTCAAATCGGCTTCTTCTGCATTAAGGCTAACACTATGGTGACATGGTCCGCACTGGGTCAGTCCACTCCTTATTTACAGCCTATGAGTGAATGCAGTCGAAGATATGGAACTAGTGTGTATGCCTGAATACTTAGGGACATCACTGTATAAAATATAAATCTGATGCAAACATAAGAAAGATCCAGATACTGAGATATATTTTAGAGCTGGTTTTTGGCCACATGAAAAGACAGCTATTGTGAAAGCCAAAGAGTTGCCTTTCATAATCACTCCCTTCTTTGCAATTCAGGTAATGCAGCTTAACCCAGCAGATAGAAGGATGGTGCGAAGTTGCTTTAATCGCTCCAACACGAATCACATTGTTTTGTCTGAGCGATAAGAGCAGCGCAGCCCCGGCGGATTAGCTAAGAGAATTAAAAGAAGCAAGGCCAGCGCTCGGAGTGGGTCAGAATGGTGTGAGGGGAGCTGCCTTTAATATGTGAAATAGGTCAATTCTGCGTACTCTCCATTATTACTCCTGTGTGCGTTCAAAAACAAGCCCGCCGCCCACTGTCGGAGCCATGGGACAGCGCGGGGGAGAGGTCAAATTCTTTTTTACTCTCATTTTAGAAAATTGCACATCGTTCCTCGCCGCAGCTCCGCCTCAGGTGCATTCAAAGGAAATCAATTTAGCTCTTTAACCATAAACACACTGCGGTTGATTCCATATGCAGGTGTAACTTTTTTCATGTGGCAAACACAAATTACTTTGTGGTTAAAATTCCAGGGAGATTGTCGCACAGGTAAAGTAACCCAACGATGCGTTGATGGAGAGAGCTGTGGTTGTTACTGCAAAATGTATTGTATAAAGGGCCTTTAATAATGTTGTGTTTGTAGTGAGTCAAGAATTTGGGTGTGTTTGCTTCTTCTATCTTTTCTTTCCTCCATGAAAATAATTGTTGTGTCTCGTGAAATGTTGTGAACAAATCAGACCAGAACATGCTGTCTCCATGTTGTGAGAAAACACTCATCCCTGTGAGTCACAAATAGATGTTTTGGTTTTTTTTCGGGGCGTGCTTCATGCATATTTGAGTGTTTTTGTTTGTTTGTTTGAATGGGACAGTGTGTACCCCAAAGCTCTTTGCCATAAACAATACATTATTAGAAAAACAAGCAATGTTTTTTCAGCCCTGTGAGTTGCTTTTAGATGCTTTGGGATGAGAGGTGATAGGCTGAGTTAGGACTGTTTTTTGTTTTTGTTTTTTTTGTCTGAAAAAGCTGAAGATGTGACACAAAACTAGAACCACACTGTTTTTATGGTCATATACTGTAGTTAGATGGATCTTCCATCCATCCATTTTCTTCCCCTTAATCCATTTCTGGGTCGGGGGGTGCCAGTCAAAGCTGCACCCAGTACACTTAGCACCAGCCCCTCACTGATCCTTCTGCAGGTTGTGAGTCCACGGGAGCCTTGATCTTTCAGTGGGGGCTTCAGGCAAAGTGGGGTTAAGTGTCTTGCCCAAGGACACAACGGCAGCGGTCATCAGTGGGAGTCATGTGAATCATGTGATGGGCTCAAACCCACGACCTTCAGGCGCAAAGACCAATGCTCTACCAACTGAGCCACTGTTGCCCACTAGATGGATCTTCTTAGATATTTATTTTTTTGTGTAGATTTAAACTTAGGCTTTTTAACTTAAACCCCAGCTTTAATAAACAGCAAGAGCAGAAAAAGCACCTGGAGGAAACATGCGTAGACACAGGGAAAAGAAGCTAACTCCACACAGAGAGGCCGCGTCTGGGAGTCGAACCAAGGCCTATTGACTGAGGGGCAACTGCTCTGAGCCGGTTTGTACCAGACACTCAACCATGACCATAACCACCACCACCTCAACACATTGGACCATAGAGAGAGATGATCAATGTCTATAAATTTTAATAAATGTCCTGGATCATCACTGTCCTGAGACCCTCCTGCATCTGCAAGGAACAAAAAAACTGTGGGAAAAAGGAGAGAAACCTGGGGGAGGCCCCAGAGAGTGTGTGATCAATGACACAATGGACAAACACAGACAAAACAATAATGGAAGTGATCAGGTCATGGGAACTTCAATTTGTAAAAAAAAAAAATTCAGACTCTTTGGATTTGGTTCTGAACCTGTTAGCTGTGCAGTGGAACGGGGTTTTTTCCAGGAGAAATGCTTCTTCTGGACACGGTCTGATCAGGCTGATCATATAAAATATAAATCAGATTTATAAAGCATGTCACCACAAGTCGAGGTTGAGCTCTTCTTGCATTCTGGGCCTAAGTTTGGAAAAATATTGTGGTATTGACATGTAATTGATGTGTAGGAGGCCAGTTGGTGTAGACCTCACAAGATCATGCTTTCAAAGTTCATCTTGAGGTCCCTTTTATTTTGAAGAGAAGCTTAAAGGCTTGGTTCATTGGAAGAACGCTGAATCCGACTTCATGTGGCAGTTCAAAAGTGCATTTAGACGCATTAAAAGTTAACGTCGTCTTAAGTCCTGATCCCACATGGTTTGCAATACACGGTCTGTCTCCAGAAAACGGCGACAGCTTTGGAGAATCTAAAGAGCTTCAGAGAATTCATAAAGATTCTTACAAAACTGTGTAGGGGTTCAGGAATACGTGGTCTCTTTTTGATCTGACTGATCTATACTTCTTTAAAGGGGGAGTTTGTGCAAGAGATGAAAAGTAAAATAAAACACCAGAATATAGGTGAAACTGTGAGGATTAGAATCTTTCACTCCATTCACTTCCTTAGTTCAACGTGAAATGCAAATTAAATTATGATAAATAAATCATCCAAAATGTGCTCCAATTTGGCAAAAATCAGCACATTGTTGAAAAAATACACAAGAAATACTTGTCCTATCGGTAAATATTTCAAGACACTCAGAATGCACTCAAATGAAGATTTAAAAAACACTTGAACGAACCCATTATTACCTCCCGTGTTGTCATTTTTTTGCAGTGTAGACCTATTACATTTTGGTCGTGTCGTAATAACTCGTAAAAACCAGAAACTATTTGAATGAATGCAATAAGCTCCTGTAGAAACCCTTGTCGTTTCAATACTTTTTTTTCCTCTCAGTCTAATTTCTGGCAGTAATACGCCACATATAAATTCTACTGTACATTTCATGCCGTTTTTCTTAATCCATTTCATTTGCATAGCTGGCTTTAAGTGATGCATGGCGCTGTTCCATGTCTGGTTGAAAACGATCCTGCTTCTCGCCCATTACGACATTCTCTTTCCTCCGCACACCTCTGCCATTTCATATCGCTGCAGCACTTGTGCCGTCAGTTCAGCTAACCGAACGGCCATTCACGACGTGTGGGTGGAATTTACAGCAGCAGTTTGAAGAGTTCTAAAAGCCAAATGGGAAAATATGCTGTAACTTTAACCATATGGAGTCAGAAATAAGTATAACCTCATTTTTTGAGCTTTTTAACATGTTTCTATTTTTTGACCAAGTGAGATCTGAGGGTTTTATTCACAGTATGTGCAGAACTGACCTGTGTAAATGAGAGAATGTGGTGAGGGCAAGTGTGTCTTGGCTGTTTGTTAGTAATTTCAGTAAGATATGGTGCTCCCCTAGCCCCACCACATCAATCATTCCAAAAATTCTTTAGTTTAAAATGATGGTGAAAGGCAGCTGACAAATCTGTCCTGAAACTATGGTTAGTGTCAAAAGTCAGATTCTAGTCTAGAGTTTAGAGCGAATGTCTCCGTAATCCCTGGGCCAATCCACAAGACACAAAAAACTGTCACAAGTGTCCACATCTTCGTCGGTACCTTTCGACTGTTGTCAAACTATATTCGCGTGAAGCTTCACCACCTTTGCTGCTGTGACCTCATTATTATTGTGTGAAACTTGTAGTATTATGTATTTATTTGTTTTGTTTGCATGGTTGGATGTGTTTTTGCTGCTACTGGACACCTGATTGTCTCCTATGGGGGATCATTAAAGTATCTATCTATTTCAAAAACATATGTATGATGTTGGCCTGGAGAAAGGACATAAGACAGATATAAGAAGAACATGGCAGGTTTGCGAATCTAATCTCTATCAATGAATAGAAATGCAATGACATTTAAGGACATTGGTCATATACTGTAGATAGATAGATAGATACTTTATTGATCCCCGTAGGAGAAATTCAGGTGTCCAGCAGCAGCAAAAATAAAAATAAAATTCTAAAAAATAAAAAATAAAAATCATTCTAAAAACATAATAATAGTAATAATCAGCAACAGCCCTGTAGGTCACAGCAGCAGAGGTGGAGTAGCCTCTGGGTGGAGCAGGACGGGTCACAGCAGCAGAGATGGATTAGCCTCAGGGTGGAGCAGGACGGGTCACAGCAGCAGAGGTGGAGTAGCCTCTGGGTGGAGCAGGACGGGTCACAGCAGCGCAGGTGGAGTAGCCTCTGGGTGGAGCAGGACGGGTCACAGCAGCAGAGGTGGAGTAGCCTCTGGGTGGAGCAGGACGGGTCACAGCAGCAGAGGTGGAGTAGCCTCTGGGTGGAGCAGGATGGGTCACAGCAGCAGAGGTGGAGTAGCCTCTGGCTGGAGCAGGACGGGTCACAGCAGCAGAGGTGGAGTAGCCTCTGGGTGGAGCAGGATGAGTCACAGCAGCAGAGGTGGAGTTGCCTCTGGGTGGAGCAGGATAGGTCACAGCAGCAGAGGTGGAGTAGCCTCTGGGTGGAGCAGGACAGGTCAAAAGGTCAAGTACCTGCTTGATTCAGACCATTCTCTCTGCTCTAGTCCAAATGCTTCATTAGCATTTTTCAAAATGTTAGCATTCCTCCGGTGGATTTTCAGCTGATCCACTTGGTTCGGACCATGAATCCTCTCCGCTCCAGTCTGGACCAGTGCAAAACCATGAACACTGTACTGCAGCAACATCTCAAGCAGAAAAAAGCAAGAAAAATAAATGCCCCTTATGGACCATTTCTTGTGCTTGACCTGTTTGATTCTTTGATCTGTGTTGGCAAATTCAACGGTTTTGTAGAGTCCTCAGAGATAACTCCTGCTGTAAGTAAATAATTAGTTTTTATATAGCGCTATAGTCTATATATTTAATAGACCCAGGTCACCTAAAGCGCTTTACAATGTTCAGAGTTTAGTTATTGTTTCATTATCTCCACACACAGTGATGACGGAAGCAGGACCCTGAAGATGCATCAGAGCCCCAAATCAACACCATCCAGTCACTCATTACATTCATACCTATTGTGCATGTTTTTAGTGGTAGGGGAACCCGGAGCACCTGGAGGAAACCTACACAGACACAAGAAAAACATGCAAACTCAACACAGAAAGACCTTAAGGTGGAATCAAACACAGGACCTTCTTGCTGTGAATTAAATATATTAATAATCTGGGAAAACATCTGGACATTTGCAGCTAAAATCACAGCAAATATGTCCTCTGCCTTTGACCCATGGTTCAATGCCTGTGGTCATAGTGCAGCGCCTGGGGACCCATCTCTGGATGTTAATTCTCTCCCTGGTCAGGACCTCTAGAGCTGGAAGACTGTTCCCTTTGACTGAATGTGTGTCTTTCTGCTGCTGCAACCAAAATTCCCCTCAGGGATTATAAAAATACCATGAACCTTGAACCTATGTGCTACTGTTTAGCTGTTTACATGTTGTGTCTTATGTTATTTCTGTGATGACCATTTTCGAGACGATAAAAATGAATTGATTTGTCGTCTCGATCTGTCTGCGTGATTTGTCTAACAATGAATTCCACTCCGTGTGTGTAAGTCCCAGCTGCATAAGCACATGTTAAAGGATGTCCATCTGTAATAGCATTGTATTAGTTTTGGATACACGAGCCAGTTGTCGGCCTGTGCAGCACGGAGGTAGTAGATCTCTCTCTCGGGGACTGCATGCTCCGCCGTCTGTAATAAATTGGCTGTTTATTGCGTTACAGGAAATTAAACAGTGGCCCATGAAAAAGCACTGCACTTTCAATTTAAGCTCCTGAAGCTTTAAAGCAGGCCAATAAAGTGTGCGCACCATTTCTCCAGCAGGAAAGTGGAACCTGCGAGAGCTTTTGCTTCAGTCGTTGCCTCTGATGGTGTGTGGACTTCTCCTGTGTGGCAGTTACAGGCTTTTTAACCAGCACTAACGGTGTCCAAACTCTCCGGTTTTATCTCACCACTAATGACATCAAAGTGCAGACTCCATCACTGACACGGCTGTTTATGTCGACAGGAGAGACTAAAGCGGGAGGGGGGACGTCGGCTCAAGTGGGAGAGAGATGAAGACTGCGGTTTAAAATGTAGGGATGACACTGCATGAAAAGTTAGATTTTCGTCACCCTAAACTGCAGGAAATCACGCTCTTTTTCGGGTATCTCAGGCAGTTTTCAGAAGGCGCAGTTAGGGTGCCCTGTCCTCCAAACTGCCGTATCCGTACCATGCTAATGTCCCTACTTTGCATATGAATGCAGCGAAACACTGCGACCGGCGGAGCGCTAATGGCCCTAATTAGCATATGAATGCAGCGGCTGGCCAGGCTGCTATTCAGCATTGGTGAATACCACTACTTTCAAACTCGTGATTGGCTGAAAAATCACACGTGGCCAGCCCACGTGGGATTACTCCCCATTGGATGAAATCACTACTTTCAAATAAGTATAATCTCTCGTGATTGGCTGGCAGATCTGTCACTATTGGTCACCCTGCCTCATAATTAATGTAATAATATTTATATAAATATTCGTATTATTTATAGAAGAAATGAAAATTTTCCAGGAATATGTTCATACAAAGAAAGCTTTATTAAAACACACACACACACACACACACACAGCTTTATGCTCACACATAGGTAATTAAAAAATTACAACTCTGAACTGTCCAATAGCCTCCTCGGGGTTGTAATTTGGCAGCGTTCTAGATAGACGCTTAATGTGCGTGGCTCTGTACTTCCGCACCGCCTCTAACCGGGACTGCAGCTTTACAGAGTTCAGAAAACTCCGGCTTTCGAAAAGACGGCGACCGCACAATCCATCCAGAGACACCGTCCACAACGCCTTCTTCTTCTTCATTGGACATTAGGTCTACCGTGGCGGACTTCCAGAGTTCCACTTTGTCACTTTCTAGCACACTCGGTCTCGATTCCAGCGGCTGAAAGAATCAGTAAATATTATTAGCCAAATCAAATCCTTTTTCCCCATCTAAACATAGTGTCTAAAGCAGACCTGGAGATTCTTATCCATGCATTTGTCTCCAGTAGGTTAGACTACTGTGCCACAACAGCTGCAGTACATTCAAAATGCAGCAGCTCAAGTCCTGACCAGAACCAGAAAGTACGATGGTAAGGCAAGTTTATTTGTCTAGCACAATTCATACACAATGCAACTCGAAGTGCTGAGCAAAATAAGAAAGCATTAAAATAAATAATCACAGTACATTAACAAAGATAAATATAAAATACCTCAGTTGTAGCACAGCTAAAGCTCCTCTCTGACAATGTTTAAAACCAGGTTAAAGGGAGAAACAGTAAAACACTTACACACAATGTCGTCTTTATCAACATCGTGGAAATGTGGACTTGCAGATATTGTGTTAAGCAAATAGGAAGTCACCGTCTCATTACGAGGCGAGATTAGTCTGAAAACAAAGTCGACAGTTATGATTGTTATCTATACATATCCATTACCGACACAAAACATGTAGGTATACCAAATTCAATTTCCATGGATACATTAACAATACTTACATAACCTTTTTGAGAAAATGGATCCTTCAATGAAAAAAGTGTGATAATTCTAAGAGCATAGCTTTCTTTTTGTTTTCGGGAAGGCATTTGTCTAAGGAGAAAAAAACACTCATGGTCAAAGGACTTCATGGTTACATAAAAAGGCTAAATTAATAGTATCTACAAGTACATATTTTCACGGGGACCTAACCAAGAGATAATCTACAGGAGAACATCTACCTAGGTCATTTATAAAAGAGATCAGTACTATTTATCTTACAATGGGGAATCAATAACAGTGGTGAGAGAAACTGAATTGTTATGTGATTATTGTGAAAGGTCTTTCAAGTGATTTTCATTTTATTTTGAGTAAATATCCTTCCACTTGTAAGAAGGAACTTTTGAGTATTAACTGAGGGATACAACATACCCATGTGTTTCACTCATGTCACTGACGAGAAGGTCGACAAGTTGTCTTCGAGAGCGGTGACTTAGTGATCTCACAGAATTATAATCTTTAAGGATCTCTCGGTCACCAGGGTTTTCCTGCAGTTCCACCATCTACAAACACGTGAAAAATGTAAAATGACAATCTACAATTGTACCAAAAATCTTAGGATACAAAATGCAGCAGTACCTCTTTTGATGTGTACCTTTCTCCTTTCTCCATCTCCTCTGCTGTACATATGTGCATTTCAACACCAAACACAATCATATGTCATTTCTTTTTGTTATTGCTTTATGAACTTACACAGGAATCGAGGTGCCGGACAATCTTGGAAAGCTTAGCGCCAGCAGACCCCCTTTTGGCCTTAAAGAGCTTGATGAACTGTGTCGTTAGGCAATCCAATGCTTCAACGAAATCATTGCCCAGTTTGGAGCTGGTGATCTGGTTAAATTCTGCCAGGACCTGCAAAAAAAACAACATAAAACACTTCAAGTTAAATGCATAGATGTAAAAAATGTGTACACACCTGTCTCTCTGTATAAAGTGCTGGCCAGCGCGCTTTGACATTTTCCACAGGTGGGGCAGAATTGACTATTTCTTGTTGTCGGACTGCAACACGCTGTAAGCAAAAAAAGAATAATCAATATATATAAAACAATATCACATGATTTTTGCTCAAATGTGTTTAAAGGAGGTCTAGATTCACTCAATAACATTATTAAGCAATGGACTTAATAAAAAAAAATGAACAGAAAGACAACAGTGACAAATGAGATGAAAAAGTACAGTAATAAAAGTGAAAGTCTTAGCGCTCAAACAAAGACAGGAACAGTGCAAAACAAATGATATATGTTAGATATTCCACAGTCTCCTGTACATCAAGCTCTGCCATGAGCCCAAACTGCTTTTCCTTCGGTTCTTTCGAAGCAGTCTGCTCTGTGCGCCTCGTCCCTGCTCCTGCAGCAGTTCCATGCTTTACAGAAAGTTATCACACACGGAGCAATCACATATATATGTGATATATATATCACATATATGTTTTGGTTGTGTAAAGAGAGTGATGATAACACCAACAACCGTTTGTGTATATACTGGTCAAAGTGCTCGTGGGTCCTCCGGTATGATACTCCGTCTGGTTGGGAGGCCACCAGCAGACTGAAGTCGTCTACCTTTGATTTGTGTCTGAAGGTCAGGAATGTAGTTGTAATCCTTTGCTTCTTTGACAGTGTGTACCCGATACCGTTTCGATTTTTTGCTGTACAGTCTCTTTAGGCTACAAGATAAGTAATTTCACGTTAGAAGACAACTATATTTATGACTTGTCAATAGGAAGTAGTGAATGATACTTACGACACTTGGCCTTTGCTGTTCACATGTGCCGGACGGCTGTTGTGGTGATTGTAGTCCAAAGCTGCGAGAAGTGTTCTTGCTTCATAAACAAAAATGAAAAAGCAAACCGCTTTCCGGCATACATCAGAATATGGTTTTGGAATGATTCCAGCTGTGAGGTGGTCCTACAGGGAAAGTAAGTAGGAAATAGAAGAAACACAAATCATTCAAAAAAACAAAAACTGATCTCTTACCGAAATGTGAGGAACTTCTCCACATCCTTCAGCCATCTGCGGCTCAGCACGATCTGTGACAGTGCCACATGTGCTTTAGAGCCAGTTGGTACAGGCTCTTTAGTGCCATCATCCCCCAAAGGACCATGAAGGCATCTACCCAGGTCCCACTCATGCACGCCACTAACATGGTGCAGTACACCTCGCCACATGTCCTAATCAGCAAACATAAGAAACTGAAAAGGTATAGTGAAAATGAGAAGATAAATTCTAGTTCTACTTTACTTACCATGAACTCTTCTCGGCTGCTTGCATGCTGACAGGCATACCAAAAATGGTTAACAATGTCCTTGATCCACCCAAGGATTTGTTTTTGACCTGCCAGGACACCCGCCTATCAAAGTTATTAGTTTTGGTTATGTCTATAAAAAATAATTGAATGAGAAACGATATGAACTATCACTTACAGCATGAAGCCTCTTAGTTAGATTTTTTGCAGCATGCCAGACATCCAGGGAATGGTTAACTCCATGATCCATATATCTTCCCCGTTCTGGATCTATTATAAAGCTCAAAAATGCAGTAAGCACAAAATATAGCACATCAAATAATACAGACAAAAATACTTACGCATGAGGGCTCCAATTTGCACATGGGCGTCAGTCACAATCTTTGACTTTTAATTCTTTCGTGAGATCATCAAATGTTTTGATGAACGCTGCCTTCTCCATAGACACTTTTTCCACCAACTTGCCTTTTATCAACATTGACAACACTGATAATGTCCATAGTGTCAAGTTCCATCGTTGTGTATGTGCAAAACGTTGCAGAATGACCTTGTTGAATCAAATATGGTGAAACACAAAGTAATACACAATAACTATGTTGTGAAGTGAAAGGCTTCAGACTTACCTGGTGAGTCCATTCTCCCGTCAGCTGTAACAGATATAGTACTTATAGTGACTGCAAATACGACAAAGATTGTCCTTTAACACATTACTTACCAAGGGCCACAATGCCATCTTTTGACTTTAATCGTGTTACAATAGACAACCTCTTCTGCTCCCAAAATGCCTTTATTTCAGGTACGCAGTAGGAGTGTTGAATTTTGTAATAAGTTGTCGTTGAAACCATCTTCATATTCATAAATTTGAAGAGGAGGGCAATCTTAGCAAAATTATTACCACTCAGTAATAAGTTGGCAGATAACATAAAATCGCCTCCTTGCATCCCATGTCGAAGTACAGGTTGACTGTTCCACATCCATAACTTGTGTCCATAAGAGCAGAACTATGGAGAAAGAAACAAATAACTTTTACTAAATGTATAACTACACATTTTGCCTACCCTAAATACCAATCTCTAATTTCAGCATTCACTCACCCATTCCAATATGATTGATGTGCCCCTAGAACGTGATTGAACCGAAAATGGAGGCCGACCGTCACACTCAATACCAGAAACCGGATCGCTGTAATGGCATTTGTTGATGGGCAGTTGCAGAAAATTAGCCATTTGCAGCAAGCTAATAGTATACGCTATGCATGCTTGTTGGTGCACTAGGTCAGTTTCAGCAACCACACGAATTGGCTTTGGGAATGTTGATATGTCCTGCTCAGACTGATCCTCAAAGTCCTCTGGTTCTCCGGGATTTTCTGGGTCACAGATGTCCAACACAGCTTCTTCTATGCCGAGGATGGGAAGATTGTCAACTTCTCTTTGAATTGCAACACCAGCACTGAAAACAAGAACAATTTGATGCTTTTTCAAAAAACAATTAGGGAAGGACTTCCATTATTTTCAGGACAGAACATTTAATAAAAAAAACCTCAAAGATATAGGTGGGACATATTCCGAATCTAATGGATCTGAGGCCAAATCTTCATCAAACTCAATCCTGTGAAAGTAAACAGGTCATATTTTAAAACAATCAACAAAATATTTATTTTTAAACATGTTAAGTAACTTACACACTGTCTTCTAGATTGTTTGCCCGTTTTTCGTTTAACCAAAGATCTGAATGTCTACAAAAAACAAATCATATAAATAAACGACCTAGAAATGAGAATACAATGTACATCTTAATGTGAATGCATGTCTACCTTTTCTCCAAAACCTCCAGCTCTTTCTCCTCTATAAAAGGCTGCACCCCTGCCACAGATAAGTCATCCCTGTTAAAAAATACAGTTTGTTTCAGTGAAATTGTCAATAAGGCTTGAATCAAACATAATGCCAATCCCATTTTTCTGGGAAAAAAAAGTACCGGTCAGATTCTACGGGACTGATTGAACTCGGGAGATCACCAGTCGCAGTAGTGGTTTTAGGAGTTGAGGCCTTGGGACTCCTTGATGCCATCATTTTTTCATAGCTATAAAGTAAATAAATACACGTTACCTATACACACATGCATCTCATTGTATTACAGTTGGACTAACCACATTATATTACTAATATAGTCTGCAATTCTACGATACATATAGTACAGGTACTGAGGTACATATAGTACAGGTACTGAGGTACATATAGTACAGGTACTGAGGTACATATAGTACAGGTACTGAGGTACATATAGTACAGGTACTGAGGTACATATAGTACAGGTACTGAGGTACATATAGTACAGGTACTGAGGTACATATAGTACAGGTACTGAGGTACATATAGTACAGGTACTGAGGTACATATAGTACAGGTACTGAGGTACATAATCACTGCATCTGCAAGTTTCATAATGGTTTACATGCACAGTAGCAGCCCAATAATGTACACAGCTGTACTAAGCTAACAGATGCTAACGTTCATTCAAAAGCACTAATCAACGTAACAGTCATTATTTCTAGACATTCTTCATACAGAACAAAAAAAATGCTGAATGTGTCTCGCCAATCTGTTACTGTTCAGAAAAAAACCGAACCAAATGGAATCAGTCCATGTTGCTAAGTCAAAAAGCTAACACACAATAATGCTATATCTCTTCGTATTCGAAGACACTAGGACGTTTAGAACTGAGTCACCGTCTTACCTTCTAATCAAGATAAACGCCAAATGAGGATCATTTTTTATCCTCAGAGCGTTTCGGAGACACGCATGGGCGAGAGCGACTCGGGTCTGAGCTCTCCGCCGGTCGGCCTCTCGCTTCGCTCTTTTCGTAGCACTAGTGACAATCTTCCAGACGGTGATTCTGAAGCTGGTCTTTCTGGTCAAGAAACTGCTGGATCCATCTTCAAATACGCGTGATACGAGGACGGGACAGATCCACTGAACGCGAGGGAACATATGGAGCCAAAACAGTGAACGGGCACGCGCATTGCGTCACTTCCGCTTAAACAGCGCGCGAGAAAGCGACCAGAGTCAGGGATTTCTCAATCACTGTATGCGCTCCCAGAAGCAACCACAGTGAATCTGCTAATGCTCAGTTTACACACCAGGCAACTGCTGATGGACCACACATGCAAAATATTGCATTATGGCATTTTTTAACTTACGCAATGCACCTGTCAAAATTATCGTTTTGACTCACGTTAATTACATTTTTTATTAACGCGTTATTTTTTTTAAATACCCGCCCATTTATCCATAAGAATATCACTCAGAATGCTGCGTGTGAGATGGCCTGCTCCGTGGCCGCTCTGGTTGTTGTTAGCGGCTGTGAGTGAGTGCAAGCTTTGCACGGGCTGCAAACATGGATCTAGCTATTATAATAACAGCAGCAAGCGATTGCTCCGTTCACATACTCAGCGCTCTGCGCACTGTATTCTCCCTGGTTCTTGTCTGTCAGGCGCGCTCTGCGCACTGTATTCTCCCTGGTTCTTGTCTGTCAGGCGCGCTCTGCGCACTGTATTCTCCCTGGTTCTTGACTGTCAGGCGTGAGTGTTGCTCGTGTTTGTCTTTGGGAACTAATTATTTTAAAATAGTCTCTTTCAATTGCAAGTTTTGTAATCTGTTTGTTTGATCAATGGATAAAAATAAATGCAATTTAATTAAATGGCACCTTGGCCTGTCTTATACCTGTTTGCCTGCAGGACAGTTCCCTAAACTAACATATCATACTAAAATAGGGTGGGGTTGTTGCAACAATTAATCTACTTAGAAGTTATCCTAAATTACAGCCAGCTAAAGCTCGGTACCACGACAAACGAAAAAGTAACGCAATAGTTACTTTTACTGCTAACTAGTTACTTTTATAGTGGAGTAACTCAGTTAGTGAGTCAATTACTTTTTGGTAGAAGTAACTAGTAACTATAACTAATTACTTTTTCAAAGTAACTTACCCAACACTGGTAATTATATTTGATAATCTCATTTAACTTCAATTGGAGTGGATTTGAAATAGAATGTTAAACATGCGATTAATCGTGAGTTAACTCACCATTACTATGCGATTAATCAACTAAAAAAATGAATCGTTTGACAGCCCTAGTATATATATATATATATATATATATATATATATATATATATATATATATATATATATTTGAACCGAGAATAGAACACATCTTTCATGTCATGAATAAAAATAAAAAATCCAAACTTTTGGTCTATACTGTACATACATGAGATGAGCACTTACACTTTCAACATGTCTTTTGTCCTATTAGATTGATTTAATTGATTTTGACATGACAAGCTATAATCAATCATGATCAAATATGTGTGTGTGTGTGTGTGTGTGTGTTTGAGCATTTACAAAATCCGGGTCTACGGTGTGCTCCCCCTCAACCCTGATTAGCATTTGTATAGCTCACAGCATTGCCATTTACATGTTAAAGCCTCCTGTGGAGGAGGGAGGAGGGGACAACAAACTGCCGAATCCCAGAAGTTTCACAGTAATATACAGGGCCGAAAAGAGACGAAAATCACACTTTTCATGCAGTGTGAGGCCCCTTGGTCTCCTCGAGCCACGGATTTCTGTAATAAATCTACAAATTATGTATGAAATCAAGAAATAACTGTACCAGATGTTGAGCGACACAGTGATCTCGGTTTCGCATCTCGAGCCGGACCAGGTCTTCATGTGTGAGTTTGCGTGTTCTCACCGTGTCTGCATCGGTTTGCTCTGATTTCCCCAACCGCTATAACTGTGTGTGTGTCTGTGTGTCGGGTGTGTGTGTGTGTGTGCGTGTGTTGAGGGTATGTGTGTCAGGTGTGTGTGTTAGGGGTTTCTGCATGTGTTGTGTGTGTGTGTGTGCGTGTTTTGGGTGTGTGTGTGTGTGTGTGTGCGTGATTTGGGGGTGCGTTTGTGTGTGCGTGTGTCAGGTGTGTTTGTTAGGGCTTTGTGCATGTGTTAGGGGGGTGTGTGTCTGTGTATGTGCGTGTGTTGAGGGTGTGTGGGTCAGGTGTGTGTGTGCGTGTGGTGTGTGTGTGTGTGCCTGATTTGGGTGTGTGTGTTTGTGTATGTGTGCGTGATTTAGGGGTGTGTGCGTGTGTCAGGTTTGTTTGTTAGGGGTTTGTGCATGTGTTGGGGGGGTGTGTGTGTGTCAGGTGTGTGTGTGTGTGCGTGATTTGGGGGTGTGTGTGTGTCAGGTGTGTTTGTTAGGGGTTTGTGCATGTGTTAGGAGGTGTGTGTGTGTCAGGTGTGTGTTGACAATGGATGAAAGTGGTGTATTTAAAGTACTGCTGTTCTTTCATAAACACTGTCCTCTTCAAATAAATAAATGCATCAAATATAGTAAAAGTTCTCAACTGGAGCAGTGTCAGGACCCTCCAAAGCTGAGACCCAACAAAGAAACAAATTCAGGATTTTATTAATTTAATTTAAATTTTATTCTCACTAATTATTGATTATGATAATGAATAATAGTACATAGCTCAAATTAGGAACAAAAGATCAACAGCAGACTGTGGGATCAGGGAAATGGGTCAAAAAGACATTAGTCTATGTGTTATAGTTTTAATTTATATATATATATATATATATATATATATATATATATATATATATTCTCAGTTGTTATACTTAAACTAATAACGATAAAAAAAGATAAACACCATCATCATACTTTATTTCATATTTTAGTGTTATAGGTACATATTTAAGACATTTCGCTGGAGGAATTGCTGCCTTTTGGATCCCGAACCACCAGTTGAGAACCACTGCTTTATATAGAGCTGAGGAAAGAACAGACTTTTTATTCTAGAAATGCATCATGTTTGCAACAAGTGATTATCTATAAATATCCATGAACCAAACAGGCTTCTCCTCGGTCTATTTCTGCTGCGTCACACACTGTACGCGTGGAGCGATCTTTGTAAACATGACATGCCACAGAGTCCTGAGGCTGCCTTTCCCTGAGGGCCGTTTGAACTGAGATCGAGCGTGCAATATCTTAATTTTAAGGCTAGTTATCGTTTCAGTGTCGTGATTCAGTCTGAAAAGTCTCAAGAAAAATATGGCATTAGAAGGATATTTATTGGAATGAGTTATATTGATTTGTATTTTTATTAAAAACTCAGACAAAATTTGAAATCAAAGCAGATACTAAAATGAGCCATCGATGTAAACATGGCCGTCACATCGACCCGCCTGGGAGTGCTTCGGTCCTGCACCGGACCTGTCCACGTTCAGCGGCCACTGGTCCACGTTCTGTAGCTAGCTTAGGTCCTAGATCATTAGCCTGTCCGTCCGGAGGAGCGGATCCCTTTCTCATATGGGTCTCCCTCCCTGTGGGTTTCCCTAGTGCTCCCCAAGGTTTCTCACTTTTTCCCACTGGGTTTTTTAAGAGTTTTTCCTTGTCGATGCAGGAGGGTCTTGTTGGACAGTTAGTGTCCAACAGAAAGGATTGGTGATGATCAGGACACTTTAGCATTCTACAACATGTATGGACATTTTCTTCTGTGTGTGCTTTATATTCTTCATGTGTTTTGGCTGTTGATTCTCTGACCTGTGTTGGTGATTTCAATGGTTTTGTTAAGTCCTCTGAGATGACTTCTGTTGTGACCTAGGGCTATACAAGAATAAATTGTATTGTGTATTGTATTGTATCACATACTGCCTCACCCCTTCTCCTCTCAACCCTCTCTTCCCTTTTCCTATTGAAAAGCTGAGTCTGCTTGGTGTTGGGCTTTGTGGACCCTGAGCCAGTTTGTGAACGGCCTTTGGCACAGTTTACAAATCCCATTTCATATGATTCTTATCTATACTTTCAATACTTAAATAAATTACACCAAAAAACGTTCAAATGAATCTAGAAATTACCAAAACAGTTCCCCTTTTCTACACTTTTGTTTCATTAAACATGTTTATTATGAGACAGATGTGTGCCAGGCGGTTGATGAGTTCATGATGTAACTTGGATAAAGCACAGGGTTGTGAAGTTGGTCGTGAGCTCATGATACTTTGCTGTGGTGTTTGTGTCAGTGTGAGGGAAAACTGCAGCATTCTCACAGTTTGATACAGTTTTGATCTGGGCCCTGAAACTTCTCATGATCACGAGCTGTTTCTGTGTCTGTGATGATCCAGGCGTTTATATCTCTGCCCCCGCCTTCAACTCGTCTGCAATCCAGGGGCCATGGAGAGACAACTGACATGATTTGACTCCCCACAATTTTGCACCATTTTGACATTTAGAACCATTTTCCAGCAGGAGTCTGAGGAGCGGGAGTATAAGGAGCCAGAGTATAAGAACCCAGAGTATAAGGAGCCGGGGTATAAGGTGCCAGGTGTAAGGAGCCGGGTATAAGGAGCCAGAGTATAAGAAGCCGGAGTATAAGGAGCCGGGGTATAAGGAGCCGGGGTATAAGGTGCCGGGGTATAAGGAGCCAGAGTATAAGGTGCCGGGTATAAGGAGCCAGGGTATAAGGTGCCGGGGTATAAGGAGCCAGAGTATAAGGTGCCGGGGTATAAGGAGCCGGGGTATAAGGAGCCGGGGTATAAGGAGCCGGGGTATAAGGTGCCGGGGTATAAGGAGCCGGGGTATAAGGAGCCAGAGTATAAGGAGCCGGGGTATAAGGAGCCAGAGTATAAGGTGCCGGGGTATAAGGAGCCGGGGTATAAGGAGCCGGGGTATAAGGAGCCAGAGTATAAGGAGCCAGAGAATAAGGAGCCAGAGTATAAGGAGCCAGAGTATAAGGTGCCGGGGTATAAGGAGCCGGGATATAAGGAGCCAGAGTATAAGGAGCCAGAGTATAAGGAGCCAGAGTATAAGGAGCCAGAGTATAAGGAGCCAGAGTATAAGGAGCCGGGGTATAAGGAGCCAGAGTATAAGGAGCCAGAGTATAAGGAGCCAGAGTATAAGGAGCCAGAGTATAAGCACTCATCACTTTGAGCACAGGAAACACAGCAGCGTTTGTATATTTCTACATTCAGATCATTTGCTCTCTGTGTGATTTCTCGATTCGTCTTAATGGGAAAACGTAAACAGAACTACAGCTTTACATGAATCACTTTGATGAACGCAAACAGTTGAGAGAAAAGAAGTGGAAAAACTAAAGAAGCACAAAGACGGTATTTATGTATATCACTATTTTGTTATTTCTGTTATGAGTAAGTTAATACTTGTTTCAACATAGATTATCCACATTATTTCAAAAATAAATAGTGTCTTTATATTGTTTTTTTTATGGCCAAAAAGTCATATATCAGCATCTTACTGCATTATCCTCCACAAAACCTTTGACAATGTTAGGCCATTTTATTCAGATTTAGACATTCTTTATTTGTCCCACAGAAAATTCAGTGTAACATTATAAGTTACAGAACAGTAAGAATGAGGAGCACACAAAACAATATAATAAGTATTTAAAACTCTATTGCTTTATCAACAACTAAAGTTAAAGAAAAATATCATAGAATTTCTGTCTTCAGCTTAAAAGAAGCAGTATAAAAGTATACTATATACAAGTATAAATATGATGTACTCTAGTTCCAGACCTATTCTTCACAATCAGAGTTGTTATAAGCAAAAATGTAGAAATAATGTAAAAACAAATTATGCTTATCTGTTAGAAGAAATGTATGGATCTGTATCGATGTGTAAATTTGAACAAGTGACCGAAATAAACTTCATTCAATTATTATATCAGCTGTATCGTGAGACAATGACACCTACACATGTGTCATTGTATCACTATGATCCAGAACTGCAGCCTCCATGTTGCCGGAGAGCCCCTTCCAAACTAAATTCTCCTCAGTCCCTGTTTCTGAAACCATCTGACGACATTTTATTTGTATACAACCACAACAAAAAGAAGAATTTAAGTTGAAAATGCTATGCCAAAGGTGCAAAGGCAGCTATAGGCAAAAAACTGTGTGAGGGCTGCGTGTTCCGACACACAATAAACCTTTAATATTTTGCGGTAATATTTTATTTCTGATTTCCATCTCGCCGGCACTGTCTGTTCTCCCGTCGCACCTTTCTCCATCATTTCCGACGAGCACATTTGCTTCTATTTTGTGCATTTTTCAATCCCCTGCTCTTCCTCATTCCATTTTTGTCCCGCTGTGATGAGGAAATGATTGGCCTTCCGCGGCAGGAATCCTCATCTACTTTATCACAGGGATAAGTGAAAGGATGTTAGTGGAACACCTCTCTCACTCCGCACTCACAAATCCTACACCCCCGATAATGGTGATGAATGTTTGGAGCCGAGGTAACAAGAAAGCAGCTCAATATTCATTTTTGGGAGTGGAGTGAGCCTGGAACATGTGGATGTGCGGTGGGGGAAAATGTTCGTGTTAAAGCTGGGGTACCTGACTTTCAAAGCACAAAAAGAAACTATTATAAAACCAATCTTACTCGTTCCTCGCTCTCGAAACTATTTGGTTCAATCACTAGTTGTCACATGTGTGTTTTTTTAGATCAGATTTTTCAGTGTCAAATAGTGACTTGCAGGGCTCTGTCTTATAAGTGTACAAATTAAAACATTTTTTGAACGATGAAGACAGTTGCTACAAAATTGACAAAGTGTCTTCATTTCAACAAATGTGAGGTGCATACCTGCATGCGGGGCAGGGCATGGTTAGTACTGTGATGGGGGACCTTTGGGAACACCAGGTGCCACAGTGGGGCGGTTGCGGATGTAAAATGCCTAACTGGCGTTGTGTCCTTGGGCAAGACTCTTCCCCCGCATTACTTAGAATGAGTCTGATGTGTATATGAATGGTTGGTGGTGGTCAGAGGGGCCGATGGCATATACTGGTTACCTCGCTTCTGTCAGTGTGCCCCAGGGCAGCTTTAGCTACAATAGTTTACTACCACCGTGTATGGAGTAAATGAAATGTGAAGCATCTTCGAGTGTCCGAAAAAGCACTACATTAAACTACTGCATTATGATTATTATTGCTATGTTTTTGTTTGTAAATTTTTGTATAGAATTCTGTTAAGCTCTCTGATTGTATAATTTACTTGAAAACTGTCCACATAAAATCAATCTGGAAAGACTCAAGACAAAGATTGATTGTCCTGTTTGCATGAATATATTGAGAGCCAACAGACGCATGGGGAGGTACTAACATATGTCTGCAGTTGAACAAATGTTGATTAATACAGTATTTGGCGTTTTGACCATGGCAGGAATACTGCATGAGGAAATTTAATAGATATATATTCTCCACGGAAGAGGCGGTGATGGGGAGGAGGTGGGTTGCTGCACTATCACAGCTTAAGTGCCATATCTGTCCTGAAAGACTATATACATTGAGTAACGACTACATATGTATTATATGTATCTCAAATAATAATATTACAATACCTTCATTATTTGAGACCATTTGTCTTTAAAACAACAAAAGTCAAAATTTGCTCGCTGGGACAAGCAAAATTATCTCGTTTTTAAAATATACAACCCCTTTTGGAATGAGAATAAAAAGCAACGGCTCTTGATATTAGACTAAATTGTCAAATCTTGTCATAGTTAACAAATTATGACAAAAACTACTTCAAGCGGAAAACGATTCAAGCAATTATCACCTCATATTTTACCATGTTTTGCAGTGAAGTCACAAGCAGACGCACCTTAACTCAAACAGAGATGCCACACACTGGAATACAACCAGTTATTTTCATTCTTATTTTTTTCAGTGCGGCCAGCAGAAGACGGGAGAAGGCACGGATTGAGAAAGTGCTGGTGTATTTGTGCTCGTTGCTTATCGAGAGGGCGCAGAGAGGGAAGAGGGGAGCTGCTCTGATTGCTGCTGCTGCAAACAGGCTGGAAGCAGATGTGTGGCTGATGATAGGCCGCACACGAGGTGGACTGGAGGAGACTGGAGCTGGCACGGTACACCTCATCTTTGCACTATAGAGGAGCCGCGATTCAAGCACATGCAACAATGGAGAGAGCAGGAGAGGCCCGGTTTACAGAGCGGATAAGGAGGGGATAATTATTTCATCCGTTCTACTTCACTGCGCGCTTCTGCAGGCTGACAAATATTTACGCAGTGTTGTAGGTCAATAGTCTTATCATTTACACCATGAGCCGGTAAAAAAAAGTGTATGTTTATGCGAATGCTCTGAGGAGTAAGAGAAGTGCGATCGTCGTTTAAAGCTGGGGTGGCGACGTTTTAGAGCACAAATATATGTAACTACAGTATGTAGAAAACTTCTATCATACTGTGGAATCTGACCTCCATATTTTGTACAGTGGACATCTGTTACATATTTGCAGAGGTCTAACTAACCCATACTAACCCACGTTGGTATCAGTAACTTTATCTTAAGCATGCTTCATTAATATCTCAAGTGATGACAAATTGATATAAATCATATAAAAAAGCTTTTTCTTTTTTTATTTGATTGGGAAGAACTAAAAAATAAACCAGGTTACAGGTGCGATCGCTGCTGCCTCTGTTTTAATTTCTTGACAACACATTCTGTAATCACATGTCACATCTTTAGATGGGCTTTTTCAGACAGAAAAGCAAAAAAAGAAGAGACCCACTCTTCTGCTTTACGTTGTCTTTGTAAATCCCGATATGAGTCATATCAAGGATTGACCATGTGCCTTCATGTGTGGGGGATACTTTGGCTTGCCTTTTAGCAACGCCCCTGTTAAGGCGCTGTTGTGGAAATTCTGCACATAACGAGAGTAAAATAATGTAAACAACTCAGAGCTGTAATTCCAAACAAAGTGTAAGTTTATTCATTAGTAAATGTGCACAATTACAATGAATAACAGAACCGATAACAACATCACCTGCAGCCGTCCGAAATCGACTGCCCCGATTGAGGAAATAACTGTACATTAAATAGACCAGAGTAAACAAACACATATCTACTCTAGATATTACATAAATTAAGTCAACATTGATATGTGTTGCTCAAGGCTTCTCTTTACGCGTCCTAACGCTGATACAACTCTGATATATGTAACAATCTGCTTTAGAACTGAACATATTATTCTATGACCCGGGTCAAAGACATGATGCAGCACGTCTCCATCTATCACTGACCTGAGCCAACAGAGCATTATGGCCTGTATCTGAATCCAGAGTTGACTATTAGTTAATAACTTACACTCATAACTATTTGGTGTTAATTCAGGTTGCTTTACTAAAATATTTCTATAACAGCGCAGCTTTGCGCTGTTATAGAAATATTTTATATTTTAACGTATACGTTGGAACAGATGCCCATATTAGGAAATGGGCCACAGCTAGTTTTTGTTCAAATCAGCTTCTTCCTCATTATGGCAAAACTATGGTGACGTCAGCACTTGGCCTGTCCACTCCTAATGTGTACCATCTGAATTGTGGGGCTTGAAGTGACCACACCTGCCTCAGATTTGACCCTATGCGCCCTGCTAGTGCATAGACGATGTGGAAGTCAATGGCTTTTGTTAATTTAAAAGGCTCCACATTTATTTTAGAGTTCCTTATCTGTACCTTTTTTATTAAATGCTGATCGGTGGTATATCTGTTTTACCTATTTGTCATTTGATGTTATAGAAGTAAAAAATAAATGGTTAAAACAAGTATGAAGAGTAAAAAAGCTTTACAAGCTGTCTGCTTGTAACTTCCAATGTAACCACCAGAGGGTTTTTTTTTTCCTAAGTTTAAAAATGTTCTTTGATGGCATTGTAAATAATGTGAAATTTCTAGGGCTGTCAAAATTATTGCGTTTACTCACGTTAATTACATTTTTCATTAACGCATTAAAAATAAATTAACGCATGTCCGAATGACCTGCCCAGTTATCCATATTATCACTCAGAATGCTGCGTACACTGCTGTGTGAGATGGCAACAAAGCAGGTCTCTGAGAATTCCCGTTTTAAAAGAATATGCGCGTGACCGCGGGGCTAAAGTCTATGAACTGAAGTCCGCCGTCCCG